GCTCTGCCCCAGGCGTCCCCAAGTCAGCTGCTGCTGAAACTGACCAGCCGCTGACTACAGGAAGCCCGAAGCAGAGTTGCTCTGCCCCGGGCTTTCTGGAATCAGCCGCTGGTCAGTTTCAGCAGCAGCTGAATCTGGACGCCAGTTCCGACTTACATACAAATTCAAATTAAGAACAAACCTACAGTCCCTATCTTGTACATAACCCGGGGACTGCCTGTATACCTTTGATTCAGGGTTTTAATTGCTAGTTTTTTATTATGTAATATTCATTATTGCATCCAGCATAATATATCTGACTAGTTTCTCAGTGCTTTAACAGCTACGGAAAACAGAGATGGACCTGATTGTCTCTCCTTTTTTTGCCATCACCTCTACAGGGGCAGAACAAAGAAAAAGAAGGAAAACTGGAATAAAACTGTTATTTCATGGTATAACTAAAGCTACATGTACCAGATACAATTTCATGATAGTCTAATGATAACCTTTGCTTACTGGATCTAATCAATGGGAGTCACTGGGGAGATCTACCATTTTGAAAATCAATCCTTTAATTTAAGGTGCTTAACATGGGTTTATGAACCTGTCCTGAGGCCCCTTCATTTAAAAAATCTTGACTAATAACTGCAATGTATATTAGAGAGAGAGAGCAGGGAACTCCTTACAATGCTCATCTCCTTTTTTGAAAGTGATATTAAATTTGAATGTAATTATGCACCCTTCTATGATATGTGAAAGCAAGAGAGCTAACGGAATTGTTGGGCTGCTGGTCAAGGTGGGAGAAGGGGAGATGCTCCATGCTCCCAGAAGAGGCAGGGCATTGGGAGGAAGGGGCAGAGTTGGGGGTAGGAAGCCCTCAGTGCTGCCCCCACCCAACTGCCATGGCTCCAAAGGTGATTCAAAACAGCAAAAAAGGTGATAAACAGCAAATTTCCAGAGCACAGATAAAGCAATATGTATTTCACACAGGACTGGAAATAGAAGAGACCTATTCATTTTAGAGCAATACCATTGTGTAACTTATTTCTACTATGATCTGCTTGCTGGAACTGACTTTGCCCATTTTATTCTAATGAACAACTCATTATTGTCGCACTTTCTACCCTAATAAGTGGGGGAGGAGGGTTCTGTTCAGGGTTTTTATGTATTGCAGATTGCGTACTGAGATATAAAGGACCCCGTTTGGCCAACGTTTATGCACAAGTAATTTTATACACAATAGCAGCCAATAAGATGACCTACATAAACTACAATTACTATTATGAGTAAAATGTTTCATCTTTTGTTTGCATGATGGGGAATGACTCAACCTATGATATTTCAGGACCCAGGACAGAGAATGTTCTGTCATTTGTAAGAGCAGAAACCATATACATAAATGTACTGCTCCAAAATAGTATACATCATTACAAGCTTTTGGGGTAAGTCTACACTGGCTAAGAGGCTGTTTAATTGCAGTAAACATTCAAGGTATGGCTATATCCTGAGCCCCCAGGGACTGTCTACCATCATGGGAGTCCCAGAGCCTAGGCTCCAGTCCAAACCTGAATGTCCAAATTGCAGTTAAACTACCCCTTATCCAAGTGTTTCTCAAAGTGGTCTGCAGATTCACACTGAGAAACTTGATACCTGGCTGCTGTGGTTTATTTATCGGCTCCGCAGCTATGGAGTCTTGTGGCTCCCAGTGGCTCTGGTTCATGGTTTGCAGCCAAGGGAAGCCTCAAGACACTGTGGCTGCAGAGCCAGTAAATAAACAAACCGCAGTGGCCAGTTAGCAGGTTTCTCAGAGTGAATCCATGGAGTTTTGAGAAACACTGCCTTAGCCCAAAATGCACAAGCCATAAGACTCAGAATAACTGCAATGTAGACATATCCTATAAGGTTTAAATGTGTTTTTTGCTGCATTTTATTGTTACCAGTATTATGCCAGAAGTCACACTAAGTGATCATAATGGTCCCTCTGGGCTTTAAAATCCATTAGCTCAATGGGTCTACTCCAAGGAGCAACGTTACACAAAAGGCCTAACCCTCTTTTGCAAGACTCCAAGGAGAAAGTTATATTGCAATAGTTAAGTAAGTAATTAGCTCTATACTTTAGCAGTTGTGATAATCAGCCTCAGCTTTTCATTCTGAGAAATGTGAGGCTAAGACTGCCTGCTACTTAGAGTGAGAGATGATCATAAGTACACTGAAGCAAGGTTTAAAGAACTATTCCACTGAAAACTCTATTTAATTTCCTTTATTGGCGGTACTTGCGTTGCCATTCAACTGAGCCAGAAAAAAAATCAGCAATGTGTGCCTAAGATTTCTAAGGAGCCTGGGGAGGTAATTGACTTGAGTAAAATTACTTACACATACAAGTTGTTGCAAGTTTGGGCCCAGAATTAGCAAAATATTCTTGCTGAAAAATGGCAAATGGTTGATTTTTAGAGGTTGATAGAGCTACATTGTGAAAAGAGTTAAACATAAATGTATTAGGTTCTAGCTTTTGATTAGTTTCACTGAAATTGCATACACAATAGGGTACCATTGTTACCAAAAGAACCCCATATTCACACTACTGTAATAATCTTCATACAAAATATGCTTTGGGAGATATCAGAAAACAATGTTCTGATCTGTGAAATGTCTGAAGCAACATTTTAAGAATTCCCCTTGTATTTGCACTTGTTCAACGCTAGCCAGCCCTGCCTAAGCAAAAATTCTAAACATGCTTACCCAAAACAAAGAAATGTGTGTTTTCCTCAATTTACGTATAAATGGTAAACAAAGTCCTCAAGACAGCAAGAGAAGGAAATGAAGTAAACAGAAATATTTTCATTTCAGCAAACACAAGTTGGGGGAGGAAAGAGGATGGCGCGTCCTTCATCACCTGACTTCAGTGTTTGAATAAACCTTAATCAGAAGGGTAACTTTTTAAGGAGTCCACTTTAAAGCCTCACATCACTATAAAGCAAAGGGGCAAAAAACTCAAGTTCTTTTACCCAAGAAGATAAAGGCAGCTATACATTTATGCCTTTGGGGGAGATCCTGATGAAGGAGTGGGTCAGTCATCATCTTGCTAGAGGGCTGTGCATGAGAACGGCCATCTTGAACAAAGCCATGAATAAAAATTTGCTAGCTTAAGTTTCAGACAGTTAAATGAATGTTTTCACTTTTATTTGCTGGTAACCATTTCTAACTTTATGTCTTAGTCAATTCACTGCAAATCTTATCTTCTTTTGGTAATAAACTTGTTTTCTTTTTAATCTAAAGTAATCCAGTGTTTTGTTTAAATGGAACTGTTTGGTAATTCCAATTAAAGTAACCAACTATTGAATACAGTAATTCCTCGCTCAACACATGCCCCTTTAACAT